TCCAGAAAGTAGCTAAGGGTTACCAGAGATGTTTCTGAGGTGTTCGCTAGGTATTTTTAAGATTTAAAAAGTCAAGAAGGGGGTCTGAAAAGCTGCTAGAAATAGCATCAAAGTCGCTAAGTTGGCAACACTGTGGGAGGAGCGCTTCATTTGCAACTCAGGGCAGCGCATGTGGGAGGAGCAAATAATCGGCTTGTTTTGTTTTTATAATCGTTCAAAACTCAGATCGTAATTGTGATTAAAATTCGATTAATTGAGCAGCCCTATGTTAAATGCACTGGGTTTTACCCTATTACAGTTAAATTTCATGGTTAAACAGTACATGTTCAAATCTAAGCTCAGCTCGGCAGTGACCTAAAATACATAAATATAATTTTACTTACCGAAAAAAATGAAGTGGAGACTCCTTGGATGCTCTATTAGTGCAATTAATGCCACAGCAAGTCATTTTGTCCAACAATTGCACAAAAAATATCCAAAAAGAACGCACAAACGCTACAACTAATGGTCTAAGTTGAGAGACTGAAAATGGCGGAACAGTTTTCAGGCGAGGCTGAGGCTCAGGCTGAGGCCTTTCCCCGGAGCTAGCTCTGTGGTCAAGTTGGTCTGATTGATGCTCATTAATTATTCAGAATTTTAGGCTTTTAATACACTTAAACAGAAGAATGACAAAACATTCACCCCCCTCAGAGTTGTCATGAGTGTAAACTAGATCATTTAAACAAAAAACATTTCTGCTGTGAAATTGGTATTTTTAACATGGGAGTCAATGAGGATTTGCTCGCTCCTGACACCAGCCCCCAGTGGATGAGGGTGGAACTGCAATTTATTTCACTTCCGCATTGGACTCAATTTCATTCCAGTATTATGGGGGCTTGGTCGATCCACAAAGTAAACCATTGAGTGTTTATAACAGTCAAGTAAAGGAACAAATACAAATAAAAGTGCTAAAATAACAGCATGAATGTGTTGTGCACAGTGATGGGTATCAGAAAGTCTAATTTTGTTTTCATTTAATTTTTTTGAGTTAAATTTCCAATCTACACTTTGTGTTTGTGCTACGCTGAGAATTCCTCTTAATCTTCAAACTGTATTTTTTATTTTTGTATATATTTGTAAGTCTATGTCTGTCTATTTTTGTCAATAACATAACCTGAACCTCAGAGTAACACAGGCTTTTGTTGGTCTGGAACTAGTAAGCCTACATTTTTTATTCACCTCCCAAGAAAAAGTCTCTCAATTCAAGAGATTTCCTGTAATTTGGGCTTGTGAGCTACTTAATGAAAGTACAGAAGAGCTGCCGCCATACGATGTGTTCAAGTCCATGTGTGAATATGCTTACCGTATTTTCACAACCATAAGGCACACCTAAAAGTCTTAAGTTTTCTCCAAAATGTACGCCGCGCCCTATGGTGCGGTGCGCCTATTGTGTTGTGAGACGCGAACGTAATAGAAGACAAGGGGCGTGGTGTGAACGTGCGGACGTGAGCGAAGACAGACCTGTGGATCTGCCACATCGTCATCAACATCCTCGCTATTTGCCTCAGACTCCGGCTGTGAGTCTCCGTCCACTTCCTCTGCTTCCAGTTCAGAAAACAGCCGTACTATCTGAACTGCCTGGTGGACATTAATCCTTCTCATCATCCTTTATATAAGCCTAATAAAAGCCTACTAAACTGCAGAGACAATATCTGTCCGGATCGCTCCAAAATATGAAGTTTACCGTCAATATCTGTCTAATTGTTTGTTGTTACTCCGTTCGCGCCACTCCTTTCCCCGCGAAGCGGCTCCTTTTTGCGCACATCTCGTTACTCGTGCAGCCTTCCTCTCTCTCTCAGCTACATAATGATACTTTTTATCAATTGAATAAGTGAGACTTCTGTTGGATAAAAGCTTACTATCAAGCAGAGTTCACCGCACTCCAAATGGTTGCAGGAATTTCTGTCTACTCCTTTTTGCTTGAGGTGCTCAGTTACATTTGAATGTTTTTGTGTTCTACTATATAGAGCCAAACCAGCCAAACCAGGGGGTTCTGCCCTGGCTTGGAGCGTAGGCAGGAACACTTTCCATCCTTCCAGACCCAGAGACTCGTTGATCTAGTATCTGAAGAATTTCTTTTGTTTCCTGTGCATTCTAAGACCAAGGGAGTTTTTGTGGATGGGTGTGTTTGTGCCAATAAATACTCACTGCAGTTTTTAACTCATTGTGAGAGGAAACTGGCCCTTGTCTGGTGTGTTTGATTCTCACCCTTTGCAAAGTATGTGTCTGTTTGTCTGTTTAAAGGTTGTTTACAATTTACCAAATTATGAATCTAATCCCTCTGTGTTTGTTCTGACTTTCTTTGAGGTAATTTAAGAACAATAGTAGAAATTACCCAACAACTTCCACCAACAGCAAAAGGATCTCATGTTTTTGTGGGGGGGTTTTATGTCCGCAAGCACATTCCCTCTCACGGATTACTAAACTGCTGTTTTGACAACTTATCAGATTGTCTAAAAATAGGTCGTTTTTTAGTTTAGTACAACTCCGCTTTTACGTTGCCTATTAACAAAATTTAAAAGCTGGGATGTAGTTTATAATTTCCTTTTTAAAGCTGAATTGAAACCGAAACTCAGGGAGGCGGAGTCTTGCTGCTACAGCCTCCCAAATCAGACCTGTTCAAAAGATGTGGATACGCGTCCATGGACCCCAGAGGGTTAATAAAACACAATTCAAATCACACTATTTTCTTAGGCCTATTAATAACACACATATGATTTTGTTCATGTGGAAAGTTTATGTGGTTAAATCCACCAACTACCGGTAAACACATTCTGAACTTCAACACAGCGCATCAGCACCTGAAGCGGCGCTGCGAGCAGCTGCGACCCAAAAAGTACCAGAACCGCTCACGGCGCATGCGCAATCATGCATCAACACCGCTCGCCCGCTATTTCCCTAATAACACACGCTGTTCGTTTTTATTTCTACACGTTTTTTTTACTCAAAGATTGTCAAGAAAGCGTGTTTGTCGTGTTCATGTCAAATTAAACTGATCACAAAACACAGATTTACTTTCTTTTTTTGGTTTTCCTCATCCAACCCCCATAAATCCCTATATGTCCTCCTGCAGCACTCCCGGTGTACGCCCGGCTTTAGTAGGAGGGAGACCCGCGATTATCGCTTTGTCGCGCATGTCTCATTGAAAATGAATGGAGGAGAGGCGAAGTTGCCTCCCGTGTGTTGAGCCCATTAGAAGAGCACGAGCCGTCAGCGCACGCATTGAGGATGTGCACGCGCGCTCTAAACCAGGTCTAAACCAGGACTAGACCAGTAAAGTGAAGCATGCTTTTGGCTGTTTATAATTGTCACAATGTCTGGTTTGCACTGATATGTTCCGAGTCCCGAGCCCGCACAGATGTTTTACCAGTACGTTTTACAGTGCCCGCGCCCTATAACCTGGTTCGCCTTTTCTATGTGTTAAATACCAAAAAGACACCCGTAACTGAAGCTGCGCCCTATAACATGATGCGCCCTATGGTCGTGAAAATACGGTATGTTAGTTGATTTCTCTGTATTTCAATACATCTGTTGGATAAAAGCTGAATATCAAGCAGAGTTCCCCTCATCCATTAGATGTTTTTAGGAAAAGTACTGACCCAGATACGTTGGAATGTTTTCAGAACCTCCTTTCTGCTCGAGGTGTTTTGTTCCATTAGTTGAAGCCAAACTAGTCAGACGGGGAGTTTCACGCTATTTGTTTTCTGAGGCCAAGGAGGGTGTTTGTGGAATTTGTGGGTGTGTATGTTCAAATAAAAGCTCTTCACAAGCTTTGGCTCTGTGTGAGAGGAAACATGGCTTCTGACTTCAGTGTGTCTCTGTGCCTTTCCCTCACCCGTTGCAAAGGAAGCTTTGTAAGCTTTGTATTTTAAGGTTTGTTACAATTGACCAAATTATCTGTATGTGCTTTGACTTTCTTTAAGGTAATAGAGGAGAGGTAATATGGGAGAGAGACGATGGAAAACTCTGGAGGGGGTTTGGGCCTTCTCTCTCTCCTCTGTTTCTAATTGTGTAAGGTGTGTTATTTCAGGTAAAGGACCATGGTGCATATAAAATACCCAACAACATCCAATATTATAAAAAAGTACAAGGAAGATAGTGAGATTCTGAAAATCAACCTAAACAAAATATTTTGTTTATTAGCTAATCAGATACTTTCAGATAATGAATAACAAATCTACTTTCTGTGAATGATGAACCTGTTGGCAACAATAAATGCTTTGCTGCATTTATTGTTGACACCATTAAAGCAGGGTTGGAGGTTTAACCTTTTTCTCTGCCTCTGGATCAGCGGGTCTGACGGATGAGCAACACAGAGCAGAGAGAGAGATTTAAAAATCCTGTTTTATTCCTAAACGGGACAATCAGCTGAAACTGTTGAGGGAAATTTGTTTAAACTAAATCACAGGAGATGTCCAGACTTTGGAAGCCTGTTAATCGTGTTAATAAGCGAAGGGCATTTAATTTGCTTTAATGACATATTTACGCAGATAGAACTTTACAGTCGCCCCCACAATATTTTGTTGAGGATGTTTTTCTGAAACCAGGTCTGCATGACCGACGTCACCTCGTCTTTAGAAGCAGCTGCAGCCGCTGATATCAGAAACGGGGATCCGCGCTGCAACCTGAACAATTAATCCATTCCACATATTTCCAGTAGAACACATTTGCCGAAAGATTTGCGCAATAATCAGATTTTATTTTACTTCCACAAAATGCTGATTTTACATTCGATATTACGAGAACCGGGGAAGGCTTGCCATCAAATTAGAAATCCGTCCCTTGTTAAGTACAAGTCAGGCTGGGCGGCTCACTGGCTGCTTCCAGGCCAGCGACTTTCAAGAGCTACCGATAGCTCACGACTAACATGTTGGAGACCCTGCAATAACACAACTCTCATATGTGTGAATTTAAAGTTACAGCAGTCGGTAATTCACGTTGTGTGTTTCTGTTTCCTACAGATGTTCAACAGATGGTGCAGGTTAAAGAAGATCCTGAAGAACAGAGTGCTGGTGTGGACCAGCAGGACCCAGAACACCTCCACATAAAGGAGGAAAAGGAGGAGCTCTGGACCAGTCTTAAGGGAGAGCATCTCCATTTGATGGAGGAGACTGATTCTGCCAGGTTTCAATTCAGTGCTGTTTCTATAAAGCGTGAGGGTGATGAAGAGAAACGTCTGTTTTCACAGCTTCATCAGCAGCAAATAGAAGACAGAGATGTTCCAACCAGCAGCTCAGCTGACCAGATGACAGCAGAAACTGGTGGAGGAGCAGGAACTAGCAGGAACCCAGATCTTAACCCTCATGAACAAACATCTGATTCTTCAGAGACTGAAGTTAATGGAGATGATGATATGAATCTAGACTCTGGGATGTCAGACTCTGGGTCTGAAACTGGAGACGAAGACTATGACTGGAATGAGAAAAGGTCTTCTGAGTCAGATGTTAAGACTGTCAACATATCCTTTAGCTGTCTTGAGTGCAGTGAACGATTTCATGACAAGCAGTCTCTCCAGAATCATGTGAGAGTAACCAGTCATTCAGCAATAAGGTCTTCCAGCTTTTTGGTTAATAAGAAATCTGTTAGACTTAAGCAACCTGTAGACTCATATAGGAAAGTCCAGAAAGAACTAAAATCATTTAGTTGTGGTGACTGTGGAAAAATATTTGGGAAAAAATCAAGTTTAAACAGTCACATGACAGTCCACACAGGACAGAAACCTTTTGTCTGTGAGCTCTGTGGAAAAATATTTGGGAGAAAATCAAATTTAAACGATCACATGAGAGTCCACACAGGACAGAAACCTTTTGTCTGTGAGCTCTGTGGAAAAATATTTGGGAGAAAATCAAATTTAAACGATCACATGAGAATCCATACAGGACAGAAACCTTTTGTCTGTGAGCTCTGTGGAAAAAGATTTACCCAAAAGCCGCCTTTAGACAATCACACAAGAGTCCACTCAGGACATAAACCTTTTGTCTGTGAGCTCTGTGGAAAAAGATTTACCGATAAGTCGACTTTAAACAATCACATGAGAGTCCACACAGGACAGAAACCTTTTGTCTGTGAGCACTGTGGACAAAGATTTACCCAAAAGTCACATTTAAACGATCACATGAGAATCCACACAGGACATAAACCTTTTGTCTGTGAGCTCTGTGGACAAAGATTTAACCACAAGTCAACATTAAATGATCACATGAGAATCCACACAGGACAGAAACCTTTTGTCTGTGAGCTCTGTGGAAAAAGATTTACTCAAAAGTCGACTTTAAACACTCACATGAGAATCCACACAGGACAGAAACCTTTTGTCTGTGAGCTCTGTGGACAAAGATTTACCCAAAGGTCAAATTTAAACGATCACATGAGAGTCCACACAGGAGATAAACCTTTTGCTTGTGAGTTCTGTGGAGAAAGATATGGACAAAAGAAAACTTTATTCAAGCATATGAGTGTCCACACAGGATAGAAACTTTCTGTTTGTGAGCTATTTGGACAAATTTAAAGTGACAGTGTGTACTTTCCCTGGCAATAGGGGGCAGTACATATCTAAATGATTGCAAGCAGTATTTTTGTGTTCGAGTAAGACGTCACTAATGTATGGCTATTAGGGTAAAAACATCTGCACTTTTCAAACTTGTACTTCATCAGTTCTCTGCTGCTGGGGTGGGGGTTGGTTGTTTTTGCTCCCGACTGACCCACGTTCAGTTGTGTCAAGTATTTTAGACTTCTGTGTTTTTACACTGCTTTTAACTCATTCACTGCCAGCCGTTTCCTGATCAGAAAATCCCTTCGCTGCCAGCATTTTTCAGCATTTTCACTGTCTTTAAGAGTCACAGAATGTTGCGTGGTAGGATGATGCCAACACCAAAACTAACAAAACAAAGAGTAGACTCACCTCTAAAATCAGGAAGAATCTGCGTGTTTCAAGCGTTATCCGTTTTTTCATAATCCATTGTTGAATTGGGATCGGCAGAAGCTTTTCCGGTTCGAGCCTCACTTTTTTTACAGCAACGGCCCAAAATGATCTCCTAACACATGGATTTTCTGCTTCCTGATCACATGATGTGTGACGTACGCAGATGAAGATAGGCTTTAGAGCTGGGATGTTTGTTCTCACGGTGCGGGGGCTCATTCTGACGCCCACACAGTAAAAAAATTTGCAGTTAATGAGTTAAATATTATGGTGGTAGGGTTAGGGTCAGGGTTGAGGGGGTTACAGACAGTGACTTCTTACTAGGCTTCCAGCAACAAAATGGGGTTTAATACAACATTTAGTTGATGTTAGGAAAAACCCTGACCTACTTATCAAGCAGAGTTCTCTCACCCTTGCTGCTTAAATGTGTTAGGAAAAACCTTGACCTAGTTACTTGTTTAACGTTTGGGTGTTTTCAGAAAACTCCTTTCGGCTCGAGGTGTTTTTCCATTAGTTGAAGCAAACTGGTCAGACGGGAGGTTTCACGCTATTTGTTTTCTGAGGCCAAGAAGGGTTTGTGGAATTTGTGGGTGTGTGTGTTTTCAAATAAAAGCTCTCCACAAGCTTTGGCTCTTTGTGAGAGGAAAAATGGCTTCTGACTTCAGTGTGTCTCTGTGCCTTTCCCTCACCCGTTGCAAAGGAAGCTTTGTAAGCTTTGTATTTTAAGGTTTGTTACAATTTACCAAATTATCTGTATGTCTTCGTCTTCGTCTTCCTCCGCTTATCCGGGTCCGGGTCGCGGGGGCAGCATCCCAACTAGGGAGCTCCAGGCCGTCCTCTCCCCGGCCTTGTCCACCAGCTCCTCCGGCAGGACCCCAAGGCGTTCCCGGACCAGATTGGAGATGTAACCTCTCCAACGTGTACTGGGTCGACCCGGGGGCCTTCTGCCGGCAGGACATGCCCGAAACACCTCCCCGGGGAGGCGTCCAGGAGGCATCCTGACCAGATGCCCAAACCACCTCAACTGGCTCCTTTCGATCCGGAGGAGCAGCGGTTCTACTCCGAGTCCCTCCCGAATGTCCGAGCTCCTCACCCTATCTCTAAGGCTGAGCCCGGCCACCCTACGGAGGAAACTCATTTCGGCCGCTTGTATCCGCGATCTCGTTCTTTCGGTCATTACCCAGAGCTCATGACCATAGGTGAGGATTGGGACGTAGATCGACCGGTAAAACGAGAGCCTGGCTTTCTGGCTCAGCTCCCTCTTCCCCACGACAGATCGGCTCAGCGTCCGCATCACTGCAGACGCCGAACCAATCCGCCTGTCGATCTCCCGATCCCTCCTACCCTCACTCGTGAACAAGACCCCGAGATACTTAAACTCCTCCACTTGAGGTAGGACCTCTCCCCCGACCCGGAGTTGGCAAGCCACCCTTTCCCGGTCGAGAACCATGGTCTCAGATTTGGAGGTGCTGATCCTCATCCCAGCCGCTTCACACTCGGCCGCGAACCTACCCAGCAAGAGCTGAAGGTCAGAGCTGGATGAAGCTAGGAGGACCACATCATCCGCAAAAACCAGAGACGAGATTCTCCTGCCACCAAACTCGACACACTCCACACCACGGCTGCGTCTAGAAATTCTGTCCATAAAAGTGATGAACAGAACCGGTGACAAAGGGCAGCCCTGGCGGAGTCCAACCCTCACTGGGAACAGGTCCGACTTACTACCGGCTATGCGGACCAAACTCACGCTCCTCTGGTAAAGGGACTGAATGGCCCTTAACAGAAAGCCACCCACCCCATACTCCTGGAGCGTCCCCCACAGGGTGCCCCTGGGGACACGGTCATAAGCCTTCTCCAAATCCACAAAACACATGTGGATTGGTTGGGCAAACTCCCATGCCCCCTCCATCACCCTTGCAAGGGTATAGAGCTGGTCCACAGTTCCACGGCCAGGACGAAAACCACATTGCTCCTCCTCTATCTGAGATTCAACTATCGATCGGACCCTCCTCTCCAGTACCTTGGAGTAGACCTTTCCAGGGAGGCTGAGGAGTGTGATCCCCCTATAGTTGGAACACACCCTCAGGTCACCCTTCTTAAAGATGGGGACCACCACCCCGGTCTGCCACTCCCTAGGAACTGCCCCCGATGACCACGCAATGTTGTAGAGACGTGTCAACCATGACAGCCCTACAACATCCATAGCCTTGAGATACCCAGGACGAACCTCATCCGCCCCCGGGGCTCCGCCGCTGTGTAGTTGTTTGACTACCTCAGCAACTTCTGCCCCCGAGATCGGACAGTCCATCCCCAGGCCTCCCAGCTCTGGTTCCTCCTCGGAATGCGCATTGGTGGGATTGAGGAGCTCCTCAAAGTATTCCTTCCACCGTCCGACTATAGCCTTAGTTGACGTCAGCAGCTCCCCATCCCCACTGTAAACAGTGTGAGCGAGTTGCTGCCTTCCTCTCCTGAGGCGCCGGACAGTTTGCCAGAACCTCTTTGGAGCCGATCGATAGTCTTTCTCCATGGCCTCACCAAACTCCTCCCACGCCCGAGATTTTGCCTCGGCAACTGCCACTGCTGCACCCCGCTTGGCTATCCGGTACCTGTCTGCTGCCTCCGGAGACCCACAGACCAGCCACGCCCTGTAGGCCTCCTTCTTCAGCCTGACGGCTCCCCGAACCTCTGGTGTCCACCAGCGGGTACGGGGGTTGCCACCACGACTGGCACCGGCCACCTTACGACCACAGCTAGCAACAGCCGCCTCGACAATCGCAGAGTGGAACAAGGCCCACTCGGACTCAATGTCCCCCACTGCTCTCGGGACGTAGTCAAAGCTCTGCCGGAGGTGGGAGTTGAAGACCGTCTTGACAGGTTCTTCTGCCAGGCGTTCCCAGCAGACCCTCACTATGCGTTTGGGTCTGCCAGGTCTACGCGGCATGTTCCCTTGCCATCTGATCCAACTCACCACCAGGTGGTGATCAGTTGACAGCTCCGCCCCTCTCTTCACTCGGGTGTCCAAAACATACGGCCGCAGGTCAGATGATACGACTACAAAATCTATCATCGACCTGTGACCTAGGCTGCCCTGGTACCAAGTGTACCGGTGGGCATCCTTATGTTCGAACATGATGTTCGTTATGGCCAAACTGCGGCTTGCACAGAAGTCCAATAACAAAACACCGCTCGAGTTCAGCTTAGGTGGGCCGTTCCTCCCAATCACACCCCTCCAGGTCAAGCTGTCATTGCCCACGTGAGCATTGAAGTCCCCCAGCAGGACAATGGAGTCCCCTGATGGAGCACTATCTAGCACTCGTCCCAGGGACTGTATGTGCTTTGACTTTTTTTAAGGTAAAAGAGGTGAGGTTAATATGGGAGAGAGACGATGGAAAACTCCGGAGGGGGTTTGGGCCTTCTCTCTCCCCTCTGTTTCTAATTGTGTAAGGTGTGTTATTTCAGGTAAAGACCCATGGCGCATATAAAATACCTAACAGTTGACTTAAAAGTGCACTTAAAAGCACAACTTCTTTTCTTTTAGTAAAAGCAATGTTTGGGATCCTTAGCACAAAAGGCAGCTGGTCCTGACGGCATATCAAAACGTGTGCTGAGGGACTGCACAGAACAACTGGCTGGGGTTGTCACAAAGATCTTCAACTTGTCATTGTCCCTGGCCTCTGTCCCACACTGTCTGAAATCCTCCACCATAGTCCCCTTACCAAAAAAAAATCACCTGTTACCTGTTTGAATGACTATCGGCCTGTAGCACTCACTCCAGTCCTGATGAAGTGCTTTGAAAGACTGGTCCAGAGTCAAATCATGTTCTTCATCCCTCCCATCTTTGATACTCATCAATTTGCATACCGAGCTAACAGGTCTACTGGGGATGCTGTAGGTGTTGCTCTTCATGCTATTCTGTCCCACTTGGGGTATCATGGGAACTACGCACGCCTCCTCTTTGTTGATTTCAGCAGTGCCTTCAACACTATCACCCTGACAGACAGGTGTGCAAACTGTCAGACCTGGGACTCCCATACCCCACCTGTCTTTGGATAAAGGACTTCCTGACAGATCGTAAACACGGGGTCAGGGTGGGCCCCCACATTTCCTCAGCTATCACCGTTAGCGCTGGCTACCCCCAGGGCTGTGTTCCGGTTCCCCTGCTCCTTACGTTGTACACCCACGACTGTGCACCCATTCATAACAGCAACATCATTGTGAAATTCGCAGATGACACCACTGTGGTGGGGCTCATATTGGAGGGAGAAGAGTCTATGGAACTAGGATTGGGACAATATTCAGCGTAACTTGTACCAAGTTTTGTAACTTCGAACATGTTTCATCACATGTAACTTTGGATTCGTAACTTGTAACTTTAGTTTTCTAACTTGTAATTCTCAATTTGTACTTGTATTTCTTGTTTTGTAACAGGAACATTGTATTTTGTACATGTATTTTTTATTTTGTAAAATCAAACTTTTATTTTGTACATTTGCTAGTCATTTTGTAACATCAAACATTCATTCAGAAACATGAAACTTTCATTTTGTAACTGGCAGACTTCCAAATTGAAAAAATCAAGGTACAAGTTTGAAATCAAAACTCTCAAAACACACATTTCATTCTACAGGTACAAACCAAATCTACAGTGTTACGAATCTCTTTGTCTCGATTCTAGCGTCAGTGGGAGGAACTTGGGTGGAACCAATGAGAGCACGAGTCTTAGCTACCAATCACGTTTCTCGAATTCCTGTCCAATCATTGGGAGAGGAGGGCAGGGTTCTGTCAGAGCTGTTACGACACTCTTTGAAATCGCGGTCACGTGGTTCACGGAGCTCCCAAACATCCCACAGCGCCGTTTGAACGGTGTATGGTGGGACTAATCACAAAAAATTAATATAATCACATTTCCCCTGGCGATTTGTGGTCATTATTGAATAATATTATATATTATATTATAGATTTAGTCCTAACTCCTTCACAAAGTAGCCTATTTATATTTTCCGAGCATTTGTAGGAAGACAAACACCCGTGACATTCATCTACATTACAGGAACACAACAGTCCTAACACACTGTAGAACACATTTAGACCACATACATTACTATAATATATTATAGCAATAAATTTGATGTAGTAATGCAACACACTGCTCTAATATAAGCATATTTGATAACTTTAAGTCCTACAAGAAGCCCTAAACTCGAGTTGTAATATCCATTTTAAAGTGTTTATTGAAAGCTAGAATTCTGCTCCAGCTTACCTTGAAGAAAATATGTAGCTGTTTATGCTTTGAATGATGATCTATTATGTTCAGTAGAATACATTTTACAGTCATTACTTTATATTTTCATGTGTAGACAGTACATGCATCTATAACCCAGTTTATCTGGCTTCTATAGCAACTAATTACAATGAAAATTTCAATAAAACTGTATGGTTCATCACAATAAAGTGTGTTATTTGTGAAAAAATGAACACCGAACTTGTACAACATGTATAATAGCATTTTTAATAAAGCATTTGACCAACAATGTTTAGTCATTATAAATGCACAAATAAGCTGAATCGATAAATTTGAGCAATGTACTCAAGACCTAATGAAACTCTTTTGAATAACTTTATTTTGATTATTATCAAAATAAAATGTGTCCGTGGGTTAAAATTTGAAATGACTAATTTTAGGGTTGGATAAAATTTTGAAGTGTAATTTTACATCTCTATATTTTTGGTTTAGTTCAATATTTCTATATGTACAAAGATAGTATTTTAATATTCCCTTTATAGGTTGATTATCTTACCCTGGTTGGCTGCGCTGCATATAGCAATCAGTCTGAGGGAGGAATCAGAATTATGGCTTACCCAAAGATGCA